CTTCTTGCTCCTAGTAGCGCTGCCCTTTGTTCCTAGTAGCTTCTTGCTCCTAGTAGTAAGGCCAGGAGCCCCTGGTCGCTTCTGGCTCCTAGTAGCGATGCCCGTTGTTTGAAGTAGCTTCATTCTCCCAGTAGTTAGGCCAGGAGCCCCTAGCAGCTTCCTGCTCCTAGTAGCGATGCCCTTTGTTCCTAGTAGCTTGTTGCTTCTAGTAGCGATGCCCTTTGTTCCTAGTAGCTTCTTGCTCCCAGGAGTAAGGCAAGGAGCCCCTGGTCGCTTCTTGCTTTTTGTCGCGATGCCCTTTGTTCCTAGTAGCTTCTTGCTCCTAGCAAAGTGGCTCCTAGTAGCGATGCCCTTTGTTCCTAGTAGCTTCATACTCCTAGTAGTTAGGCCAGGAGCCCCTAGCAGCTTCTTGCTCCTAGTAGCGATGCCCTTTGTTCCTAGTAGCTTGTTGCTCCTAGTAGCGATGCCCTTTGTTCCTAGTAGCTTCTTGCTCCCAGTAGTAAGGCAAGGAGCCCCTAGTAGCTTCTTGCTCCTAGTAGCGATACCCTTTGTTCCTAGTAGCTTCTTGCTCCTAGTAGTACGGCCAGGACCCTAGTAGCTTCTAGCTCCTAGTAGCGATGCCTTTTGTTCTTTCTAGCTTTTTGCTCCCAGTAGTAAGGCCAGGGCCTCTAGTAGCTTCCGTAGCGATGCCCTTTGTTCCTAGTAGTTTCTTGCTCCCAGTGGTAAGGCCCGGAGCCCCTAGTAGCGTCCTTGCTCCTAGTAGCGATGCCCCTTGTTCCTAGTAGCTTCTGGCTCCTAGTAGTATGGCCAGGGGCCCCTACTGGCTTCTTGCTGCTAGTGGCGATGCCCTTTGTTCCTAGTAGCTTCTTGATCCCAGTAGCAAGGCCAGGACCTGTTAGTAGGTTTTTGCTCCTAGTAGCGATGCCCTTTGTTCCTAGTAGCTTCTTGCTCCTAGTAGTACGGCCAGGAGCGCCTAGTGGCTTATTGCTGCTAGCAGCGACACCCTTTGTTCCTACTAGCTTCTTGCGCCTAGTAGTAAGGCCAGGAGGCCCTAGTAGTTTCCTGCTCCTAGTAGCGATGCCCTTTGTTCCTAGTAGCTTCTTGCTCCTAGCAGCAAGGCCAGGAACCCTAGTCGCTTCTTGCTCCTAGTAACGATGCTTTGTTCCTAGCAGTTTCTTGCTCCTAGTAGCCATGCCTTTTGTGTTTAGTAGCTTGTTGCTCCTGGTAGTATGGCCAGGAGCCCCTGGTGGCTTCTTGCTCCTAGTAGCGATGCCTTTTGTTCCTAGCAGCTTCTTGCTCCTTGTAGTATGGCCAGAAGCCCCTAGTAGTTTCTTGCTCCTAGTAGGGATGCCATTTGTTCTTAGTAGTTTCGTAAGGCCAGGAGCACTAGGGGCTCTTGCTCCTAGTAGCGATGCCCTTTGTTTTCCGTAGTTCTTGCTCCTAGTAGTAAGAGGCTAGGAGCCCCTGGTAGCTTCCGTAGCGATAGTAGCTTCTTGCTCCTAGTAGTAAGGCCAGGAGCCCGTACTCGCTTTTTGCTGCTAGTAGCGATGCCCTTTGTTCCTAGTAGCTTCTTGCTCCCAGTAGTAAGGCCAGGAGCCCCTAGTAGTTTCTTGCTCCTAGTAGCGCTGCCCTTTGTTTTCCGTAGCTTCTTGTTCCTAGTAGTAAGAGGCCAAGAGCCCCTAGTAGCTTCTTGCTCCTAGTATGCCATTTGTTATGTTTCGTAAGGCCAGGAGCCCCTAGTAGCTTCTTGCTCCTAGTAGCGATGCTCTTTGTTCCTAGTAGCTTCTTGCTCCTAGTAGTAAGGCCAGGAGCCCCTAGTGGCTTCTGGCTCCCAATAGCGATACCCTTTGTTCCTAGTAGCTTCTTGCTAGATGCCCTTTGTTCCTAGTAGCTTCTTGCCCCTAGTAGTAAGGCCAGGAGCCCCTAGCAGCCTTGCTCCTGCAATGCCCTTTGTTGTGTGCTTGCTTGCTCCTGTTAGCGAAAGAAGAAAGATTAAAGATAGACCTGTCCCTTATACAATAAGGGGCCGTCTCTTCAGCACCCTGAAAACACAACCGGTGAAGGGGAATAGCTCGTCAAGGATGGGGGATGGGGTAATCACCGTAGTCTTCCTGGGCCTCAATGCTGCTGGCCTGCGGGTGAGTAAATGAGCTCCGACGAGTTTTACCAAGGATGCCAGTTTTGATTGCAGGCGGTTGCTTCTGCCACACAGATCTGAAGTGCTCTGAGAGTATCTACATGAATTATAGACACACAGTTTCCGACAGTTTCCCAAAACATTTACGACCCCATGAATAGTGCGAGTGTGAACTATCCTGTGTCCAGTAGCCTGCTTAATTATGCAAGAAAACAGCAGAGCGGGCTTTCAAAAGTTTGCAACTTTCCTGAAGTCTTCACCTTCTTTACTGTATCCTTCTTCACCTCTCCTTTTTGCTCGGTGGCATAAATTATGCGGAGGCTTCGATCCCTTGAACGAGGAGCGTGGCAAGACCTGGATCGAGGCCTAAAACTTGGCAGTTTGTCAAAATATCTCTTAGTGTCACGCCGAAAGTTCAGGACTCGTGTTGATTTAGTTTGGCCCTTGTCTTTGCCAGAAACCATACATAGCATGTGTTCCTCAAGCACTGACTGACACCTATGTTCTGCAGTTGATGCCCATGTCCGTAGCGATTGACAGCCTGCACATCTCCCAGTATATTGATAGCTTTTGTCAAGAATCGGAAGCCTTCTTTATCCTCAGAAATATTGCTCCCCGCAGCAGTCAGAAATGAAGAGAGCGTTATATGGTAGTGTGTCATTTGTTGTGGGGGCAACACTTCGTGCCAGGCTGACTACGGCAAGCCTTTGATGAAGGGCAAAAAGGATCTTCAGTACGCCCTATCAGATGTTGCCAGCGACAGATTTCTATTCTGTCAGCAAGCACATTGTTTACAGCTGGAAGAGGTTTGATATTGCAATGCTCAAACTTATTGGGTCTGCTTTTCCACAGGGCATCTCAGATATCACTTTTGCACAACTGGAGCAAGAAACAATGTTTGAACGCGGCAAGGCTGCCGGGTCTCCTCACCAAGGAGCAGTAGCACTGGCTCGCTTGGAGCTGGGTAGAATGGTTGGAGGGCTCGGTTGAAGGGAAAGCCTCAAGAGCAGTTCTTGATCAGAGATTTTATTGGAAAAGGAAGGTCAGAATTAAAAGAAGGTAGGGACTCCTTTAAAGTGCTCCTTTTCCAAAAACCTTGAAACCAAACGAATCGTGAATAGTGCTCCTTAAAGACATTGTATTTTCTAGTTTTAAGGGGTAGCGACGTCCAGGAACTCGGGCGACATTTGTGCAACTTTTGTCCCAGAGCGGTTCGGTGGACGGGGCTGGTGAGACATTGGACACACGAGTTCTTTTCTTCTTTTTCAGTGCAACATGAGCATTTATTTTAACGATGCATTGTAGTGCATTGTAGTAATTTCCATTGAAACAGAGAGTATGTGCAGCATTATGACAGGATGCAGAAGGAGCTCGACAGTGGCAAGCTGCCCAAGCTGCCAGCGGCCAAGAAATGAGGCGCCTTGGCTAACAGGTGGAGAAAGATAAGAAAGGAGCCAGAACCATATCCTAGCAATGTTGTGGCTCATCAGCAGGTCGGTCAGACCTCTCACAAGCACAATGCAGGGATCAAAACTAGAGACCTCAACGATTGTAAATGCACATGCCTGGGGTAGACTCCTTTACACGAAAGCTGTCTTTTCTTTGTTCTATTGATTGAACCACATTCAGCTTTGCATGCCGTTTCTATCACCCCTTGGTTGCTTTTCTGCTGAACTCTTGCGGTGCAGGTGCTGCGTTCTGCTGATGATGGGTGGGAAGTTGTTCTTTCCTCCTGCAGCTGTCCGACATCTAGATGTTTGGCAGAAAATCAGCATGTTTGATAGATTTGTCAAAACTCCAAGAAGACACATGAGCTCACATGCACATGAACACAATGCCTTGTGTTTCTCGAGCATGGCATTAGCAAGTGTCCTTGAGCCTGCAGAAGCAGTGCTCCTATGTTGATTTTTCCAGGCAGAGCTTCTGGGAAGCGCATTCAATTGAGCTCCCCCAGTAGGGCTGCAGAAAAGAAGCAAGTCAGCGAGCTGGGTGCTCACTAGTGCGCCTATCAACTCAGATCTTCAAACTGTCAGTTTGTCACTAGGACTAGTTGGTTGTGGGCAGGGACTGGAGGTTAAGCGGGAAACTGCCACACACTTGGATTGTCAACACACAACCACAAACATACATGCACAATCACAAACAAACAATCACAAACACACAACATATGGCGCCGGTATCACCAGATATGATATATTTTACGAAAGCCAGCCGATAGGCTAGGCTGAAGTGCTTGATAGGCGAACGAAGTGAGTGTTAGTGGGGTGGTTGCGAGGTCGCGCTTTTTTCGGGTAGGGTTAACCCAGAGCCTGGGGGAGAGCTAAAGAAAGGTGGGTGGACAACAGGTAGTAAAAATGCATGTTTACAACGGCCTTGGTGATGCGAGTGATTCCAAACGGTTTAATAGTGCATCATTGGCATCACAAAGTGGCCAGGCAGTCGGTCTAGTGTATGATTCTTCCCCAGCTGAACGCAAGAGGTTGAAAGATGCAAGACGAGATGCGTACTACCATGTTCATGGAAGACAACCCAGCTGAGGTTCAAAAGAACGCGCTATATTTTTGCTGGGAAACGAACAAGGCCTTAGAAACACGAGGTATGACATGGTATGACCATTGATGTCAGTAATATGGAATACATGACGTGAGACGGCACGCACGGGCTTCTGAAGTCACAAACAACTTTGGTAATTTGGTACGGGTGGGCATGTGTGAGCCTGGTTCGTAAAGAACTTTCCAAAAGCATGCCAACAGTTGGAGCTTGCTGAGATTTACACGAGGGGTTTTGAATTGACCAAAGGTTGGTTGTTCAACTGACTCAACTTTCTCTATCTCAGCAGGTGTTGCCTGCTGTCGGCGCACAGGTGCAGGAACCGCTGTTGTCGAAGTGGGGCTTTGATCCATCCGAAGAAGGCCTCGCTGAGGCGTGGAACATTCTGATGGCCAAAAGGCACAACACGTTCCTTGGACTTTGGACTCTGCCGATTCTTTATTCACAGGTTCACAGTGCAAGGAATTCCTGAATCGTCGTGACACGTGGATTCAGGGCGCCCCACAGGTGATATGGCCTTTTCAGCAAATCACGTTGTCTCAGAACCAACCATAAGCGTGGGAGTCAACTCAAAAGCCCAAGAAGCAAACACTCGGGACTACACATTTGACATGCGTGTTTTGATTCATCTTGGGTGGATCCTTCCCAGGTCATCTTGAGGAAGAACTGACCAGTTGTCAGTTGTCATCATGGGCTTTGCCTTGACCCACACACAGCGACTGCCCACTCTCATCTCCTTTTCTGCGATCAGATGATGGTGTGCCTGAGCGACCACACCTTCAAGGATTCATCCTTGCGGCTACTTGGTGCTTTCAATGGGACAGCAGGTTTGAGGAGCCCAGAAAAACGCTGCAACGCCACGGCTGCAACCTGAATCAACCTTACAGGTTTAGGGAAAATAACATAAGAGGAGTTGGATGACCTCTTGAATTCAAAACTTGACCAAGAGCGAGTTCTTTGGTAGTGTGAGTGCGGACTCAGGAAACTTGCGGACGAGACGACCAAGATGCTGTATGGAGGGGAGGATGGCATGTGGGGCATGGAGGATTGATGGGTCCTCCTAGATACGATAGCCTCAGAGTCAGATATGGTGATCAGCATTCATGATCTGAGCTCCACATGGGTTTTGCTCCTCCAAAGGCCCACGTGGTGGACCTTTGGGGTGCCCTCCGGGTGCCCTCCGTGCAGCTTCTTTTGCGCATTGTATGTTTCACAGGTGCGGTAGATACGCAATCACAGGCCAGCAGGTTGGAAAAGAACCAGTGGGTGCCGTGGTTAAGTCCAAATTTATCTATTGAGAAAAGAGCGGTTACCTTTTTGGGAAAGACTCCTTAGTCTTTCGAGCTTGGGTGAAGAAGCCATTTCTGGCCAAATTGGATCTTGCCCAGAACGATTTGTTTTGCGTTTGCAGCACTCCGAACACTCCAAGTCCGTCAGATCCATGCCACTCTCAGAATAGTTCCAAGCAATGACAAGCACTTCTATGCTGCCTGTTACTTGTAGTTTAGAGCATATCTGAACTAAATCAGCCAGTCACTGCTTCTCCACCAGTTCTGTGCCCTGCGTGTCTGAGATAGCAACTGTGCAAGTTTCGCGCACGCGGGCTCAGTCCGGCCGCAATGAACGCATGAGGTGCCAAAGTGCTTTTGAGTTCGCAATTCCACAGACCTCATATAGATTGTTCCCCTTCCGAGCCCCAGAGCAGAGTCATTTTTCAGAAGGATTTGGCTGGACTCTTACCAGTCCCATTGCAGCAACCTGTAGACTCTCCTGCGACTTCCGCTGCAGCTGCATCCTTGGAGCCAACAAGACTGCCCATTCTTCAGAGCCAGAGATCCTTGCAAGTCTAGCGTAAGGAATCTATCTGGTGTTGCAAATAAATAGATATATAATATATATATATATACACTGCTGTACATTTCACATGTTCAGATCAATTTTGGACCTTCTTGTGTTGCCCGCTGTCACTTAATCAAAGGATGCCAAAATTCTTGATGCATGGGTGGGTTGATTGCTCAGAATGAAATCAAGGGCACTCTCTTGACTTTTCTATCCTGTCCCACGAAACCATTCCTGGAGCTGAGCAATTTGGACAACTTTATCCTATTCCGAGCAATCAGGAATCAGGACCAACAATACTTTGGACTCAAAGTGAGCGGGGTCTCAAAGCGAGCGGGGTCCAACCAAGGTGCCGAGGTTCCCCTTTGTTGATGGAACTCATGGAACTCCTTTGGTTGGTAAGGCCATGCAGGCGCCTTCAGCTGTGCCACAGGCCCTCAGCGTAACGCCGCGCGGGGCTCCAGCGGGTTGGTTTCGGACTTGGGAGACCGAGTGTATAAATTTATGATGGGTTTTCGGCAGGCCACAGCTCTCAAACCTGCATTTTAATGAGGTCGGTTAAGGACGTGGGAATGGAAGGTACACTGCATGGATGTTCCCAGCTGCTCGATTCTGGTGCTCTTTATGTAAGCCACTCTGGAAACGATCTGAACTTTGTGGCTATCCTTCCAGCTGGCCACCTTTCCAGTTCCAATACATGATGTTCTTGAAGACTGGCAACCCCCCAGTGACGTTCGAAAGACACCCTGTCTAAGCATCTGTCTGACCAAGCGCAGTGGGGCTCAAGCTTCTGGCCCAATTTCAGGGCACGTTTGAAGCCATGGATCAAGAGAGGTTGCTTGGCTCCGGGATGCTTGATTCCTAACCTGAATCCACACCAGCCTAGATGAAGCTTCCCTCTATCCAAATTTTCCAGCAATGGGTTGAGTAACTTGAGTAGCAACAAGTAATTAGTTGTGTGCATGGCTTTGTACTTTGTACGGCACTTGAAATGATGGACATGAGTAGCTCATCCAGCTGAGCTCAGGTCTCGATGGTGGTCGCGCTTCCGAAATCAACACACAGCAAGTGGCTACATGCTGCAGGCCGGAATCACATGACGGGGTGCCCACGGGCACCAGCCTCTCCAGAAAAAGTGTGGGTCAGCTTCAAGGAATGGATCGGAGGAGCACCACCAATTCGAGGCGGATAGATCAAGGATCAATTGTCGGATTGTTCAACACATTTCTCATCCACCAATTTCACTGTGCATTTTTCCTTCCGGGAGTGACCTTGAAGGCAGCAAAAGTGGTGGGCAGCGAAGCGCTTGGTCTGTCCGAGAGATTTCTCAAGCATCGAGAGCAGTGGCTTGGCAGCTTGTCACCTTCAAATGTCTTCGCATTGGGATTGCATGGGATTGTCGGGATGTCACCTAGTGAGCAAGTTCAATCAACATTTCACTACGTAGCCTTTGTTCCGTGAATGCCACCTTCGTATCGAAAAGCCTGAGATCCGAATGGGAGACAGATCAGCCAGTGTAGTTCAGGCTCAGCTAACTGTTCGGAATTTGTCCAGGCGTCCCTTTGGATGTAATAAACAAAGGCCCATACTTTTAGGCAGGAATCAGCAAGGTAAGAAGTCTTTTTACTGTAAGTCTAAGTCTTTTTGCAATTTCTCCTTTACTGTCGTTTCAGCTTTCTGATTTTTGGCTAAGGGGTGTCAAGCCTCGCTGCGACTTTAGTGTGACCAGCATCGATACGGCCGTGGTTGATGGCCATGTTCTGCGCGGCAGCTTGTTACTTCCCAAAGGCCAGGGAAAGGCAGAGCGCAGAGGAGCGCAGAGGCTACAAACAAACAAAGCTAAGCTAGGGCATGGCACCAGCCAGCTAGGCCACAACCCACCCACCAACCCACCAACCCACCAACCCATGCAAAGCGATTGACCCAAAATTCTATAAGGTCAATGGGGCCCTAAAACTTCAGTGTCATGAGCAGGAACACAAAGCAGACTCCCATCCACCTGAGCACTCTAGCAGACCTTTTCCTATCTTCGATACAACGGACTCGAAGGGTCACGTGGCGGCATCCAGCAAGGAAAGCATCAAACCATGCCTGACCGGCTCATGTTGGCGGATTTTTTGGTTCTTTGCACACAACTCACAACTCAAACAGAATTCTTGAATTATCTCGACATGGAATGCGTACATTTGAGGCTTCAGCTTCCCCTAACCAACCAACCAACCAACCTTGTTGAAACCAGCCCAACCATATTCTGCAGCCAGCACCCAACCAAAAGCACCCTATGCAAAAGCTAGGGATCAGCAATCTTGGGTACTTTGTGAAAGCCAGATTTGGTGAAGAGGTTTACAAGTTGCAAAATCCTGTTTGTTTAGCGCTGGGGTGTAGCTTTGCTGGTCTGCAGTGGAGCCTGGAGAATGGTTATGGGAAGCTTCAATTCAAGGGTTTCATTGCGTTTGCCCTTGAACTAGCTGAATGTGTAAAGTAAACATCTTGTGTTCAGTATTCTCAATAGGAAGGAGCCCTGCAAGATCTATCGGCAATGTTTGAAAATGGCCACCAAATTGAGATGGGGGGACCCAGTCAGAATCTTGGCATCTGAGCGGTTTGTCCACCACCCACAAGCGCTGCCAAGTTCGGAGGTTTGGAAGGTCCTTTTCCGTCGGTGCTGCTGCGGACACCCTATGGGCGCAAAGCTGAAATGGGCCAAAGTGCCTGGGCCTGCCGGGGTGTTTAGACAGTCAAGTTGCTAGTTACTGCCAGTTGTGTCTGGTGTCTGGTGTCGTTGAGTGGACAGTCTCATGGTGACAAGGCATTGCCTGTTAAGGATTTGTTTCACCTTTCCGTTGACCCTCGATGCCTGGGTTCGGCATCGCACACTGCAGCCAAAGGTGTCCTGGCCAAGCAGGGCTATGCCGTTTTGGTGCAAGATACGCGTGGGCGCTTCTCCAGCAGTGGGGAGTTTGTGCCTGTGCAACATGCATCTTGCTTCAAGCGGCCCCGATCGCCGGCTCACCTCAAGATGTGCCAAATACTGCAACTTACCCAATTGCCACACACACACACATTTGGTAATCCTTGTGGACATGGCCATGTCATCTCAACAGAACAAGTTGGGCTCTCGCCACCGGGACAAGTTGCATCGGACAGTTCAAGCAGCCGATTTCCAGATGTGTACCCTGACTGTAACCCAACCCATGATTTTCTCCCCTAAAAAGACAAAGGCGGCTCAGATATCTTGGACCACAGGGACATACAAAGTTTAGGGACATCGATGGGAACCCCTCCTGCCGTTCCTCCAGCTGTGTGCTGACAGTTGCAACATAGTATTTTCCAGAGTTGCCACTCATGTTTGGATTCAGAACCGAGATGAGGGCGTTACTAGTAGCGTCCTTGCTACTAGTTACTAGTAGCGATGCACCTTGTTACTAGAAGCTTAGTCATTTCAGTGGGGGGGAGTGCCACTTGAAGCAACGGCTTGAAGGAACAAATGGACGGGGAAGCGACAGTGGCTTGGATGAGACAGCAGTCTTGGTGCAATGGCAAAGTCGGCGTCACAGGCGCGTTGGGGTCGGTCAACAGTGGGCATCCGAAAAGAGAAGGGGAAGCGTTACGACTCTAGACAAAAGCAAGATTCTGCCAATTCATCTTGCATTCTCATGAATGGTTTTTATTTTCCAAGTTCCCCAGACATACGGCACTATGTATGACAAATCGAGCCTTTATTGGTTATTTGCATGTAGCTATACATGGTAATCTGAACACGCAAGTATTTCGATCCGCACCTGAAAAGCAGGTGTGAGCTACCTTGGGTTCACGGCTTGGGCCTGTGTGGATCGTGCCAATGTGGATGCGATTGTCACTGTGGTCGCATTTTAGAACTGTTTTCTTCCTGCAAGTTCAGTTTTGGGATGCAGGCAAGTCAGCTTTCCCATTTGCAGGTTCCGATGATCACTCAGAGCAACATCCGCAGTGCAGTGTTCCGTCCTGGGGGTGCAGTGAGCTTTGAGCTGGTGGTGCTTTGGTTCTACCTGGTGTTGCATCTCATGAAGGACGAAGCTATTGATCTAGCCTGGCCCCTCAAGTCTACCCTTCCCAACACCTGCTGGAGAGTTCGAACAATCTCCGGCAATGAATTTCTTGATATACACGGGTCACAAGAAGCTCTCTCTTCCTTTACTAAGCTCATTCCAATTTTTGCTGGACATTGCTGGGCCACTGGCCAAGCCGAACAGAATTGGCGTAGGACCTGGGCCGTGACCGGTGGTCCTTTGTGCGGAAGCTCTGGCAGGGTATCCGGGAGGAGAAGCTTCGCAAAGCGTTCAAGTCACTTCCCATGGGTCGCTTGGCTGTGAGAAGCGGCCTACAGATCTACACAGCCGAATAGCAATGGCCTCCAACCCGATGGCCTCCAACCCTGTAGCGACCATCTACAGTAGGTGTTCTTTTCCAACATTCTTTTTCTGAGATCATTTTGACTCTCCCTTCCTCCGCAGAAAGGGCTACCGTGTACATGATGATCACATGTGGGAACGCAGTTGGTCTGAGGCAAGGTGGATGAAATCATTCTGGGCTCTCCCAACAGCTTCTTGCAGGTGGGAAATTCAGTGAGAGCTCCTCGTGCACGGTCCAGCCACATTTATGTAGTTCGGGTGGACTCGGGCTTTTTCAGGTATTTTGATTCACGGTGGAAGAACAGCAGAAGGTCTTTGGAAAGTGGAAAGATCCTGCACATGCCACTAGACTCCACTGGAGTGACTAGACACCTTTCTCTTGCACTCGGGACGACAAGATCAGTTAAGTGGAGGCTGGGCTTTCGGCACATGGTGATGCATCCAGCGGCTTTTGGGAGGGCAAGGAGTGCTGGAAGACTCGGGGCTCTGACTTGGTTTCTCGATTCGAAGGGGATTTGACGATGGCATTTCAAGTAAGAGAGTTTTACAAAAGCTGTCATGAGGTGGACACAACTTTCTGCTCACTTTGTCCGGGCATGGGGTGAGTGTTGGACATTTTTGGCTGTCATTCAAGCTTTACAAGGTTGGCCTGGCCAATGAGACCGCAACATAGTGTTCGTAAAACTTATAAGTTTTGTTTTGAATCACTTGAAACAGATTGTTTGTGTAGAAAACGTCGATGGTTTCCAGCGTTGCCAACTACTCACACATTGGTCAGGACAAGCTTGCACTTGCCACAGGAGAAGCTGTGCAACTTCGAGAAGCCCATCCCTCCATGCCACATCCTCACAGGCACCCCGGCGAAGGTGGCACAAAGCAGTTTGCAAAACTGTTCTACACAGTTTGTTTATCGAACTGCTTTGTTCACCAAACACTTTACTGTTGGGGTCTCGAGGTTGTTCTCAAAATGTTGGCACGCTCTCGCTGCCCCCTGCTCGGCCGCTCCCACCTTCTGCTCTTTCCGTTGAGGTCTCCCACCCTCTCTTTTTACACTCTTTTGTACCTTTTGTGTCCTGCTTTGCAGTGCACTTGAAAGTAAACATTCTATCTTGAGCAGGAATGCCAAAGACATTGGTGCATTGCAAAGAGAATCATGTCGAGCAACATGGTGGGTTGCGGGTTGCCCGGTTCGGTTTGCCCCCCGCTTGACTCTGAAGAAACGTTTCGAGAGGCAGAATGACTGACATAACATATGCTGCATAAGTGAAGGCACTGTGGGTGGAAACTCGCGTATCCAAGTGTCGACACGATCTCCTTTTTTTGCAGGCTTCTGTCAGTTCACTCATCGGGCTGTGTCTTCAGCCACTCACCAGTGGAAATTTGCCTTCCACTGCACCCATATACATTTAAAAAACATATATGTAACTATACTTATTAAATATGTAATGAAAGAGGACACTATCGCTGATAACAACCAACCAAAATGAGTGACTGCTCGATGAGAAGCATAGACATGTCTTTTTTTTTGTGATTTGCAATGCTTCAACGCAGCCTGAGGAACCTAGGTTGGAGGCCATCGCTCCTAGGTTGGAGGCCATCGCTTCTAGGTTGGAGGCCATCGCTTCTAGGGTGGAGGCCATCGCCTCTAGGATGGAGGCCATTGCTTCTAGGGTGGAGGCCATCGGTTGTAGGGTGGAGGCCATCGCTTCTAGGTTGGAGGCCATCGCTTCTAGGTTGGAGGCCATCGCCTCCAGGTTGGAGGCCATCGCTCCTAGGGCGGAGGCCATCGCTTCTAGGTTGGAGGCCATAGCTTCTGGGTTGGAGGCGATCGCTTCTAGGTTATAGGCCATCGCTTCTAGGTTGGAGGCCTCTTCTAGGGTGTAGGCCATCGCTTCTCGGGTGGAGGCCATCGCTACTAGGGTGTAGGCCATCGCTTCTAGGGTGAAGCGGAGGCCATCGCTTCTAGGGTGGAGGCCATCGCTTCTGGGTTGGAGGCCATCGCCACTAGGACGTAGGCCATCGCTTCTAGGGTGGAGGCCATCGCTTCTAGGTTGGGGGCCATCGCTTGTAGGGTGGAAGCCATCGCTTTTAGGTTGGAGGCCATCGCTACAAGGGTGGAGGCCATCGCTTCTAGGGTGGAGGCCATCGCTTCTAGGTTGGAGGCCATCGCTACTAGGGTGTAGGCCATCGCTTCTAGGTTGGAGGCCATCGCTTGTAGGGTGGAAGCCATCGCTTTTAGGTTGGGGCCATCGCTACAAGGGTGTAGGCCATCGCTTCTAGGGTGGAGGCTATCGCTTCTAGGGTGGAGGCCATGGCTTCTAGGTTGGAGGCCATCGCTACTAGGGTGTAGGTCATCGCTTCTAGGGTGGAGGCCATCGCTTCTAGGGTGGAAGCCATCGCTAACAATTACTTTTTCCAAAGCGGTGTGTATTCGGCCAAGCTGTGTCGTGTTCCTTTGAGACGAGTGGAGGCGTCACTGCTGACGATTCACCTGTGGATACACAGGATCAACACACTCTTCTGAACAGCCCAAGAGTCTCGAGGAGCTTTCATGCCTGTACACAACACGGTGCGAAACCATGCTTGGCTTGCAGCTCAGCATCGTGACCTCCCTGTATTCGAGCGGCCCACGGCTTGTATGCCATCGTTCAGTTTGACAAGCCTGAGAATGCTTTTGGGAACGTGGGTCCAACAGGATCCAGAAGGAAAGAATAATTTCAAAGTGGGAAGCAACAGCAGTGTTTCTAGAACCATACGAGGTACCAGGGTCGACCACTACAGGCACGATGGAAACACGCAAGGATTCGAGCAGATCAGGGCAAGAGACTCAGGCGTCTCGGGTCTCGAGCCACGGTACCTTGTTTTCCCGGCTTTTCTTTTGATGGCTTTCATGGCGCATGTCAGGTTTTCCTTTTTGAAAGCGCGGTTGACGATCGAAGATGCCACAGTGCGAGAGACAGGCTTCAAACGACCACTGGACTAACGCAGTCTATCATTTTTCTTCAAGGACGATTTCTTCGCTGTGCGCTATCTACATTGTTGTCTCGCGTCAAAGTGATGCATTGTGGAATACCCTGCCCTGGTTGTGGCCTTGATGATATAGTCCCAAACGTGCCCTCTGGTTGTGTCCCTCATCACACTTGGTTGTGCCCTGAGTGTATCCCTTGTGGCACCGAACCATGGTGGGAGCCCTGGTAGTGTCTTAGTTTAAACCCAACCAAATATACCTGACTATTGGCAAGAGTTTTGATAAGTGCACAAAACCTTTGTTTCTAGTGATCATCCCTCCCCTGGCAGGCATGAAAAAACACGTACCTTCGGAGGGTGATTGGGAACCCCATTGATGAAAAGGGGGGCAAACCTCCCGGTCAAACCAACATGTTGGTGCATATCAGAAGATATCCTAGAACAAACGCAATTGAACAATTGAACAAACGAGGATGCCTCTTAGTAGAATCACCGAATACACCCCAGATTCATTCCGCAGCCCCTGGCCATCATGTGTTTTCTGATGACTTTATTCAACACCACAAAGCTAAACTCATGTCAGGTGTGCATTACTCTTTTTTGCATCTTTTTGCACTTTGGTTGTGGTGACCACGAAGGCTGGTACGACTTCTTCCTGGAGGGCGCTTTGGAAGACTTCCAGATGGCCTTGAGACGGGGGAGTCATGTGAGTTTGACTGCGCCTGGGTGCATTTTGTGTTTCTTGCTTCAAACTCTTGGTGCAGGACACAAATCTCAGCAGAAAGTGCAAACAAAAAGCCAATTATATAGCTATGCAAGACAAAATCCAGCTGTTTTAGACATCAGAAATTCCTTTGCCCATGCTCGCGTTACTACTGGTCAAGTGGTGCAATTGAGGAATTACCATTGTTGCAACTGCATTCGCTATGCAGTTCACTGTCCCAGGCTGTAGGAAAGGATAACCTTCCTGATTTTGATACGTTTGGAGGAGGTGAAAGTTGAAGTGGACATTAGCAATTTGCAGGTTCGCCTCGTGTGAGCCGCAATGACTTGGTAACAGTACGCACACCAGAGATGACATGGGTGAAATGGAGCAGTAACATTCCCAAAGTGTCTATTCACTTTTGGCTAGTCCCAAAACTTAAAGCTCATTGAAGTAAGTGGTCCTTTTTTTCTTAGTTTTTCGACTTCCTTATGAGGATTCAGAAAATTGCATGACCGGCAAAGGTGGGGCCAACTCACCATTGGAGCCTGCTGGGATTTCGTGGCTTGCCCTAGTGAGGCTGTTGCAAGTAAGATCATAAAGTGGAATGACAAATACAAATTGTATCAAGTTGCTAGATTGGTGTTTTGTCAGTGAACAACGGATATACACAAACCCTCTCCTCCGCCAAGGCCAAGTCTTTGAGAAGACGATGCTCTCCACCTTCGATGAGCATTTGAAGGGTGACCTGCGATGGCACGGCCAAAGCCAGGAGGATCCAGGGCAGAGGCCTAGAAACGTCCAGAGCATTAAAGCTACGAAGCAACTGAGATGTCTTTTGATGTCAAGGACGATTGCAGGAGGCTATTGCTATTAGGTTGGAGGCCATCGCTAGGCCATTGCTCTTCTATTAGGTTCTTTTTGCTCTTAGGTTGAAGGCCATTGCCCAAGTTCACCAACTTTGCAACTTCACCGCTTCACCTGTTTGTACGAGGCCACTGAGCATGGTCTCCGCCTCTGCAGAGGAACACCATGACCGGCGGGTGCATCTCTACGTGCTCGGCCTGGGTTGGCGCCACTACCGGAGCTATCCACCCTTGACGGTGATGGAGTCTTGGCACCTGGGCTCCAGCTTCGACCTCCGACGAACTTCACAAGAGGTGAATCACAGCTTCTTGGAGTCTGGAACTCCCCAGATCGGGGCGGCAGGGTACTGAGCAGCAGCATTGTGTAACTGTGGCTTTGCCTGAATTCCCCCTTACCTCCATTTGCGGGGCGGCTGCGCGCCATGGCGCCGTCGCCTGGGACGCCCCTTGGCGGGGAGCGTCCCCGACGCCGGGCTCCTTCCCCTGCAGCGAGCAGTGCTGCAGTGATGGAGGTTGACTCGGCGCCGGCTGCTGCTGACGCCGCTCCCCCTGGCCGGCTGGTGTGCCCGGTGCTGGGGTGCCCTTGTGCTGATGCCAGCCGCCACCCTGGATGGACCAGTGAGGCCACTCTCCGAGCTCATGTGGATGTGCACCTCGCTGGCGCTTTGGCCGGAGAGGTCCCAGCGGCCTGGCTTGCAGCCGGTCGCCCTGCCCAAACCTGATGGCGGTGTGCGCCCCATTGCCATTGGTGAAGTTTTGCGCCGCCTTACCGGCAAATGCCTCATGCATTTGGTGCACGAGGATGCCAGAGCACACTTCTGGCCAGCCCAGACAGTGGTGGCGGTCAAAGCAGGGGCCGAAGCCGCTGTCCACACACTGCGCTCTTGGGTGGGCCGGCATTCTGGAGCCACTGACCGCATCGCCGTGAAACTAGATTTCCGGAATGCCTTCAACGCCGTCAGCAGAGAAGTTGTCCTCCACCAAGCTCGGGACCATGTCCCGGCGCTAGCCAGGTGGGCGACTTGGTGCTATAGCTCGGAAAGCAGGCTGCAGTTTGGTGATTTTGCCTTGGGGTCCAGCACTGGTGTGCAGCAGGGCGACCCCTTGGGGCCGCTCCTGTTTGCCGCGGCGTTGCAGCCTCTTGCTGATGAGATGCGACGCAGCCCCTTGGATCTGTCTTTGTTTTACCTGGACGATGGTGTTTTGGCTGGGAGCGTGCATGCTGTCAGCCTGGCTCTCACAAGGGTCCAAGCTGCCGGTGGTGAGTTCGGCCTTGCTCTCAACCTTGCCAAAAGTGAGGTGGTGATTGTGGGCCGGACCCCCCCTAGTGCCTTGCAAGGCCACCTGTCCCAGGAGCTCCTCACAAGTTCAGATGGCCGTTGCCGAGTCCTCCATGACTTTGAATTCCTGTGGGGGCCGCCATCGGCGCTGCAGCATACATGGAACACCATGCTGCCGGACGGGTTGCTGCCGCTGAGAAGCTTTTGGACGCAATCAGCGCGTTGCCTGATGCCCAGGTTGCTTTGCGCCTCCTTCGGGCATGTGGTGGGTTTGCGCGCTTGCTGCACACCACGAGATGTTGCCCTCCCAGCGGCCAGAAGAGCGCCTTGGTGCAGTTTGACACGCTGGTGCAGCGATGCTTCAGTTCCTTCACTGGCATCCATTGCTCTGTGCAGCAATGGGCTCAAGCTACCCGGGGTTTGCCTCTGGCAGGCTTGGGGCTTCGCTCCACTTCGACGCATTCACCAGCGGCCTACTTGGTCTCTGTGGGCGCGTGCCTCCAACAGTGTTGTGACCTCGACCCAACCTATCCAGCCGACCTCACCGCCAGCCCGGATGTGCTCGATGCCATGCGCTTGTTCAATGCTTGCTTGGATGCCGGCCAGCATCTTTCAGCAGCAGCTGCTTTGACCAGGCAGCAACAAGACCTCAGCCGATTGCTGGACAAGGCGGGCTGGGATGCCCAGATGGCCGCCGCTTCGGCGGTGGAAAGGACCAGCCTGGTTTCTGAAGGAGAACTGGGCGGGCGGGCTTTCTTGGCAGCCATCCCGCATGGGTCCAGGCAAATGGAGTCGGCGCTGTTCGTGGCGGAGCTCCGTCTGCGCCTGCAGGTGGCGGACGCTGCTGAGGACACCTGGTGTCCGAAATGCGATGCAGTGCTGGACACGCACTCGCATCACGCAGCAGTCTGTCTCGCAGGAGGTGAGCGGACCCAGCGTCGCCACGCTGTGCGTGACCTCATTTCGTCTTGGGCCGAGCGGGTCGGCTTGCGCCCTGAGAAGGAGAAGCCAGGGTTGCTGCTCCCTCAACACCCAGATGACCATCGGAGTTGCCAGCGGCGGCCAGCGGACATTTTCATTCCTGTTTTCAATGGTGCCCCAACTGCATTTGACATAGCCGTTACGGCCTCCCAGCGGTTGGACACCTTGGCGGAAGCGGGACATGTTGCGGCTGCTGCTGCCACGGCCTACACGGAGGTCAAGCGGAAGCACCTCAACACCGCCGAGCTCTGCGCAGCCCAAAATGTGCGGTTCCAGCCCTTGGTCGCCGAGACCACTGGCGTTTGGAGCCCTGAGGCTGCCCGGGTGCTGCGGCAAGTGGCGCGCACAGCTGCTTTGCGCTCTGGCGATGATGTGGGCCTTGCTCAGGCCAACCTGTTCCAAGAGGCCTGCATTCTCATCCGGGGCATCGTGCCCGTGCGGCCCTTCGCCGCTGCGCTGAGCGGGTGACAGCAAGGACGATCTGAGGTGCAGAGCCACCTTTCCTTGATGCCTGCGTGGTGGACGTTTTTGTTTTCTGTTCGGCTTTCCGCTTCCACTTTGCAAGGAGACGGGTGCCTTTGCGTCGATTTTGCCTTGGCGTTTTTGGGGAATGTTTTCCTTCGGTTTTTCCTCCATTTGCCTTGCGGCTTCGACGCCGTCTAGACTAGCCGGCCCTACGCGCCACGTGGAGGACCTGGCCTTTCCCCCCCTGTTTCGGTGGGGCCTGTTTACACGGTTTCCTTTTCCCTTTTTTTTGGGGCCTTTGCTGCAGGGCACTGTACAGCCGGCCTTGGCATGGCCCCTTGTTCCTAGCTTGTTTCTTTGATCTTTCGAACCCTTTAAGTGCGGCCCTTGTTTGAAGCCCATGCCTGTGGCATGTGTCAGCTTCCTGTGTACATTTCTTTGCAGGGCAGTATTGTAGCAGCATCCCAGTCCCCACGATTGAAGGACATTGACTACTGGTCTCTTTCGATGTCCTAGCTTCCTCGCACGTGTTTGATCTGATGGGTCAATCTGAGAAAAGATGACATCCTTGCCAGAGAAGCATGCTGTGTCAAACCCAGGAATTGGTTCCGATTTGCTCATGTTTGCCCGAGCGTTTCTCAGGTTACTTCTACAATCCGGCAAGGCCCACACCTGCAGCGGGCGGCCCGTCCTTCAATCCGATGAACGCAGGAACAGTCAGGGGCCATATGGATGCTTGAGCCGAACATGTTGCTTTCCCATTGCTCTTGCTTCCAGGTTGGGTTGTCATTCTCAATCCCATGCTGATATGCCTTTACACACACACTCACACACGCACAAACAATGTGATCAATGTGATCCGCGAAACTTCACGCCCTGAAGGAGCACGAGATCAGTCCAAGATTGAGGCTGGTGTGTGTGTGTCAACTCCTGTTTCCAAGGACACTAGTCTAGCTATTCCTACTACTTCAGCTCGTCAATCAGCAGTTATGTACAGAAAATCAGCAGGGGGTGCAAGCAGCCCATCCAGTCTTGCACCAACGAAGACACTGGATGTGTGCTGGTGATATCGATTTGGGAGCTCAAGCTGTCTACTTCGTTGTTTCCTCCAGTAAAGGGCTACTGCAGTGATTATATTTTTTCCGCATTTTAAGTATCCACCTAAAGGGCTAATGCACTCCGCGAAGAAGCCTGAAATCGCGCTCTGCGGAGCAACCTTCCCAAGTGTGTCTTCGCAGCTTCTTCCCACTGTGGTAAGCTGTGTGATCCCTACGGGGCGCGGTTACTGCAAGAACCTTCTCACTCCTCACCGCAGGAGTAAGTTTCCTGAAGTTTTTTCTGAAGATCACTCGACTGAATTTTCCTGCTCGAAATCAGCTTGCTTGGAATGTCTCACCTTGCACACGTGAAGTGTTACTGCAGAGTTCACTGAAATTTCCACTGAAATATACTGCAGAGTTTCACTGAAACATGTCTCACCCCGGAGATGTTTTCTTGTTCCAATTGTTTCAATAATTTTAACAAAGCGCCGATTCGGCTTCTCGGACAGTGCCTATGGGCCCGTACCGTTCGCTCGTAAGAGCCTCCATCCCTACCCCGCACCCCCTGCACCTTTGCTTGTTTTTCTTGCCTTTTCTTTTGTCTTGTTCCTTCCTTCAGGCTTTTTAGGTATGATCCAGGCTCGTTTAGTCAACGCACGCCCTACCCGCCCCCCGCACCCCCTGCACCTTTCTCTTCTTTCCTTGCCTTTTTCGTTTGTCTCGTTCTTTTCTTCAGGCTGGTTAGGTGGCATCCAGGCTCGTTTAGTCAATGCACGCCCGAACACCCCTTCACCCCCTGGCAGAAAAAGGAGAAAAAAGAACTAGACGACGAGTGGCCCGAAAGCATTTTTCATCACGTAGGAAGTCAGAGTGTGAGTTATCTGTTAAGTGTTCAGTGTGAAGTGTTAAGTCGAGTGAGTTGAGGCAGTGTGTGGGTCTCTGTGTGTGTATCTATGTCTGTGTGTGTATGAGTCTCTGTCTGTGTGTGTGTCTCCGAGTAAGTTGAGGCAGTGCGTGGGTCTCTGTGTGTGTGTCAACCTTTTAAGAGAGCCGGGCGGTCGGGAGACATGACTCAGCTGCAGGGGCGCCAGAGCAGCTGCGAGAGATGACTCAGCCGCGAGAGATGACTCATCCGCGTACTGAAGTTGCACTGCAAAGTCACCAGTTCTCAGCTTCCAGCTCCACAGATTGCTCCGCGTACTAAAGTTGTACTACAAAGTCGCCAGTTCTCATCTTCC